GGGTTCAGGGTTTAGGGTTTATGGAGATAGCCCAACATTGGCCTTATCTACGCCCGTGGATGGAGCGATGAACGTAAATGCTATTTGAGGGCTATATACCCTATGCTTACGGACAGGTAGCCTACTAGTTTGTACTAGTAGGGTCTTTGCGTAACAAACAGAAATTCGAACTTTTGCTGCACTGTGTGTCTAAGGCCGTGACCTGCCGATGATGCTAAGGAAATGCCCGATCAGAAATTCAAAAAACCGGGCTCCTAAACTATAGTGTCCTTAGACTGCGTTTCAAATCCGGTCGTCGGACTTTGTTTAGTGATTCTGGGCTGTAGCGCTTCCCCACAGCTTTGGGATTTAAGGCTCTCCGGCCGCCCTGAACCACAAACCTCTGAACCCCCCTGAACCCTAAACCCTAAACTGTACCTAAGCCCTAAACCCCAAAACCCTAAACCCCTAAACCCCTAAACCCTAAACCCCGAAACGCTAAACCCTACTAAACCCCTAAACCCCTAAACCCGTAAACCCTAAACCCTAAACCCTAAACCCCCAGACCCTAAACCCTAAAGCGAGACCCGAGACCCTTAACACTAAACCGAAACCTTAAAAACCCTAAACCCTAAACCGAAACCCGAAACCCTAAAGACTAAACCGAAACCTTAAAAACCCTAAAGACTAAACCGAAACCTTAAACCCTAAACCCTAAACCCTAAACCCTTAAAAACCCTCAGGATTCCGAGGCCTAAGCCTCACGGATCTTCCCAAAGTGCGGTTTAGAGGTTAGGAAATTTAGGGTTTAGGGTTTAGGGTTCTGGGGTTTAGGGTGTAGGTAAAGTTTAGGAAATTTAGGGTTTTAGGGTTTAGGGTTTAGGTAAAGTTTAGGACGTTCAGGGTTTCAGGGTTTAGGGTTTAGGTAAAGTTTAGGAAATTCAGGGTTTTGGGGGTTAAGGGTTTAGGTAAAGTTTAGGAAGTTTAGAGTTTTAGGGGTTAGGGTTTAGGCAAAGTTTAGGAAGTTTAGGGTTTTAAGATCTAGAGTTTAGGAATTAGGGTCTATTTTATCCTACCTGGACCCTAAGAACTTACCTCTTTTAGGGTTCCGTATTATGATTTGCTTATATAACTCCTTGAAGAGGAAGAGGTTATTTAGTTATTTGGGGTGAAGGTACGTCGTACTCGCAACTGGGTTTAGGGGGTTGGGCTTTCTGTGTCTAGAAACATTAAAGGAATTTACAGGTGGGAAGTTTAGGATTTAGGGTTAGGAGTTTAGGGTTTAGGGTTTAGAGGTTTAGGGTTTAGGGGTTAGGGTATACAGGGCTTCTATAAGGCCTCTACAAGGTATATAGACCTTGAAAAAGGCTCCTATAAGGGTAGCTACCCACCTGAAAATGTCCTAGAGATAAAGCCTCTTCAGCCTTTACCCCTCTAAAACCCGAAATGGGAGTTTCTGAAAACAAGGGGTACTTTATCCAGGGGTCATTATAATAAGGATCCTACTATTTAGGGTACTATATTAGAGTCCCCCATTTTCGGAAACCCCGACATCTTAAAGCATCGAACCCCGAAAACCGAAGCTGGAACCGGAGTCCTTTAGCCTTATAACGGCCGAACCCTACCCTAAACCCTAGACTCTAAACCCCAGACCCTGACCCCTAAGCCCTAAGCCCTAAACCCTAAAGCTCCCCCAAGGAGGGTCTTGGGCTTTTCTGGGTGAGGGTTTCGGCTTTGGGGGCCAGGCTTTTGGGTTTAGTACGATAGGGGCCTTAATGAATAGAATAGGGCTTGGGGGGAATACTAGAACATGATTAGAATCAGGAACCTCAGGGTTTAGGGTTTAGGGTTTAGGGTTTAGGGTTTAGGCAAAAAGTATTCGCTATTTTTTCGGACTGTGCAGTGCTTGCAGAAACACTAACTTACAGCACGGCTATCCTAAACACATGTACCCAAGGGACCTAGTTATGAGTATCTTAAAGCACACTGAAAACCCCTACCAAGCCCTTATACCCTACACAGCCAGCATAGAACCCTCATTCAACCCTACCCCAACCCTAAATCGCTCAAACCCTCAGGAGTTAGATTTAAGCTTCAGGGTTCAGGGTGTGGATGTGTTGGACCCATAAGACCGCATAGAAACCCTAAACCCTAAACCATTACCCGAGTAGAGCCCGTGATGATTCACTACTTTGAGAAGCCCGGGGGGTCTTAAGGGTTTAGGGTTTAGGGTTTAGGGTTCCGAGTTTAGGGTTTAGGGTTCCGAGTTTAGGGTTTAGGGTTCCGAGTTTAGGGTTTAGGGGTTTAGGGGTTTAGGGTTTAGGGTTCCGAGTTTAGGGTTTAGGGTTCCGAGTTTAGGGTTTAGGGTTCCGAGTTTAGGGTTTAGGGCTCAGGGTTTTCAGGATTTAAGGTTTAGGAGGTTTAGGATGTTCTGCAGGGATTTGTAGCGCTTCGCTCTGAAATATCGGTGATAGAGGTTTGGGCGAGACTTTTATGATGTCTTAGAGAGCTTTCAAAGCTTTATTCGATGGTGATGGCTTATAAGTCTTTATGGGGCGTTAAGGGGCTTTCTCAATGCGATTCGTGCCCCAGATTGAAGATGCTAGCAGTTCCAGTCTATATTGAAATCTCTTCTTTTCTGAAATGCCCTCATCCCTCAACGGTCCATCAGTGGTGAGCAAACGGGATGCCATAGTCCGGTTTCTGCCTCCTCCTGCGTCAAGGCTTTCGGATGTTGGGGGTCTGGGCGCCTGCTGGAAAACAACCCGGGCGAGTAAATGAGCACAATGCTCCATGGAGCATACGCACAAAGGACACAAAAGGGCAAACTTGCGTCGGACGAGGAGAACTACAAGCCATAAATGAAGCCCTAAACCCTAAACCTGTCCATGCTGGCATGGGAGTTGGTAGCCCCATCCTGAGAAAGTGGTCTTGTAGCAGAAACCCAATGATATCGGGGTAGCTGAAATTCAATCCTGAAGCAAGGGTAGCACTAGAATCCCCCCCCCCAAAAAAAAATGCTAGCCTTAGGATTCATCCCTGACGAACGATTTTGCACCAAACAAAGCCTCACCCTGACATCACCAGCACCCCAAAAATACCGGCTAGCCTTTAAACAATCATACTGACACCCAGGCGTACCGGCTGACCTTATGACTTATAACCGCCTGTCTGAGCTCCAAAGCACGAAGGGCCTGGTGGATGGCATTCGCTGCCTCCTCCACGTACGCCATGTGATTCGCACGTGCTTCTGCAGTGTTCGCCTTGTAAAGGATTGAGCGCTTGATCTTGCACCAGCTACGTACTTGTCATGCTCCACATCTGAAGGTTTCACGCGAGCCGGGCTGCCAAATTGGATGGATCGGTAAGCTTATTGAAATTTCCACAGGGTTCGGTCCTACCACCGTCCGAAAAGTTCCCTAAACCTTAAGGACGACATGACCCCTAAAAGGGTCTAGGGTTCATATACCATATAGGGATTCATAGTATAAGGGTATAGGGCCCCTACTTTTAAGGGTCACTTCATCCTCACGGAACCCTCAACCCTAAGCACTAAACCGAAAGCTGAAAATCGCTGGGCACCTGAAAATTCTTCTCGTTGCCGAAGCCCCAAAGCAGAATCGCAGGATGCGATTTGTAGCGCGCCACCACTGCCAGTGCCTCGGGACACGGCACATGTCTTTTAGGGGTCTAGGGGTTTAGGGTTTAGAGAGTAGGGATCACATCCATACTTCGGATGTAGAGCATGGCAAGTAATTAATACTGTAATGTAGGGGCCTTAATAGCTAGAATAGGGCTTTGGGGCCAAATCTACTATAATTGTAATAAGGAGCCATCAAAATAAATCTAGGTGATTATTTAAGCTCCTATCTTAGTTCCAATACCGGTACGACTACGACTATCCGCCCTGTCAGCCCGGGCTTTTCTTGGACAAAACTCCGAACTTTGAGGGCTCTCTAAACCCAGGAGTTTTAGGGCTCAGGAATTTGGGTTTAGAGTTTAAGGGTTTAAGGGATTTAGGGGTTTAAGGGTTTAAGGGTTCATGAGTAGCCCTAAACCCTAAACCCTAAACCCTAAACCGAGCATCAAATTTTCTGCCCGGGATCAACCGTGCACATCATTTCCGCAACATTTGGATCTACATGTAGACCATACCTGCTCCGCTGTACGGCGAAGGTGTAGCCATACCCCTAAACCCTCAACTTGTGATTTAAACCTACCTAACCTTATACCCCAATCCCGAATTCGTAAACCCTATACACCACACCCTGAACCCTAAACCCTGAAACCTCAAAGCCCTAATTTGAGTGGTAGGGGATCTATCTACACAGGGCACCCGCAGGCCAAGAGTGCATCGGAGGCCTAAAGAATTTGTGGTCTAGGGCGCTTAAAGACACGACCCTAAACCCTAAAACCCTAAACACGCTGAATCCCTAAACCCTAAACCCTGAAACCCTGAAACCCTGAAACCCTGAAACCCTAAACCCTAAACCCTGAAACCCTGAGTTTTCTAAACCCTAAACCCTTAACCCCTAAACCCCTAAGCCCCTAAACCTGTCAACCCCGAAGCCCCTGTAGGATTTAGAGGATCCGCAGGGTTTTCTTGTCCAGGGAGTATGGGTTTGGGGTTTAGGGTTTAGGGTTTAGGGTTTAGGGTTTAGGGTGTAGGATTTAGAGGATCCGCAGGGTTTTCTTGTCCAGGGAGTATGATTGGGCAGTCTGTGCATCTGCTAGGGCTTAGGGGCTTAGGGGCTTAGGGGTTTAGGGGTTTAGGGGTTTAGGGTTTTGGGTTTCAGGGTTAGGGAGTATGGTGGGCAGTCTATGCATATGCTAGGGCTTAGGGGTTTAGGGTTGGCTTAGATGCCAGTGATAACATCTAAACCTGTTCTGCAGAAATGCAGGGTGTGAACAAGTTGTCATTACATACCGTTCTAATCCCAATGTATGTATGTACGTACGTAGGTATGGATGTATGCAAGTATGTGTGTATAGTATGCGTATGTATAAATGTATATATATATATATATATATGTATATATGTATACGACCATACCGCTATATGTATACGACCATACCGCTACTGTATCGAGACCCGTGTAAAGCCCTTAGACACTTCCAAAACGCCTGAAAATTTCTATCATCCTAGCCAGAACCCTAAGGCTCATGGACCCCCATAGTGAAAGCCCAAACCTTCCCCGAGAAAGCCCATAACAGCAACAAGAGCCTCAGGCCAGCCAAGAGGCCCGAGTTTTCCACTCCAGCTTCGCCGGCGCGCTGCTGTAGTCTAAATCCTGCCAGGCCCCACTTTGGGGCTTAGGGGTTTAGGGTTTAGGGATTAGGGTTTAGAGGCTGTGCAGTTCATCGAGAGAAAGGAGCTTCATTGAGTTTCACTTCCAGGTTAGCCGCTTCTATGATGAGGATGCCTCAACACGGCCTAGGGTTTAGGGTTTAGGGTTTAGAGCGACCATCACAAGTAGCTCCAACTTATGGTCTAAGTAAACTTAGTAAACATAACACATTCGATGGAGCGGCCAAGTAACCTAGCAACAGGGCTGTCTAGGACAACCCACTTACTGGCTGGTCGTCTGGAGATAGGGGTAAGGCTCAGAGTTGTCCTTAAGGGCTTATACGGCTAAGCGTCCAAAGCAAAGCTTGTATTCTACTATCACGTTACGCTGGTGTACTTTGACCCTGACCCGAACCGCTCCTGTTCTAAGCGTTGACATTTTCGAGTCTAGTTTTCTTGTTGGTTTAAAGGAATAGTTCTTGGGTGTTGGTTTAAGCTACCCCTGCAGCTCAACAGTCGTACGAAACCTATGTGGTATGGTTTTCGTATCTAAGAGCTTGAAGGTTCAGGGTTTCGGGTTTCAGGGTTTCTTAATTTTTAATGACTTAAGGCTCATAAACCCTAAGCCCTATAGCTTAGGGTTTAAAGGGCTGAGCCGGCTGACATCAAAAGTCCTCGGGGTAGTCGACGGTCACGGCGACCAGTATACCTTTTCAGCATCGTGTGGGTAGTTCTCCAAATTAGGATCCCTTCTTCGGTCCCCCAAAATAGCAGGGCACCCTTGTAAGAAGGACCCTAATTTAGAGAACTACCCAGCCGTGGTCTAGGGTTTAGAAGGTTTAGGGTTTAGGGTGTAGGGTTTATAGGGGTTTATAGGGTTTAGGGTTTAGGGTTCCTAAATGCGTACATGAAGGCCGAAGTCCTAAGTTTTTACTATGTAAGACGATATAGGTTAAACCCTAAACCCTAAACCCTAAACCCCAAACGCCAAACCCCAAACCCTGAACCCTAAACCCTAAACATGGAGCGTGGGGATAAGGGCCTGGATAAATCGAGAAGTATGCCTTGGGATTCCTTCGGCTGTAGCACAGCATCCCCGAACACCCTTTTCGAACGGTTTAGGGTTTAGGGTGTAGGCCCCTATGACCGGGCTTCTGAAACAATCGGTTGGTTTTCTGGAGGTTTTTCTAGAGAAGGAGTTAAAGGATGTTGGGCTTGGGGCTTCTACCTCAGCAACAGTTCTCGGGTTGAGCGCTTTGGCTCTGATTGGCAACTGGGCGCCGGCAGCGCAGCCATTAGGTAAGCACGTCTGCCAGAAACAGCAGCACCAACACCCAAAGCCCTACACCCGAAACCCT